TAAATCAGTTTGAAGTGAGCGTGTTGTAGACAATTGCTTTTCATGCTGTCATAATCGATTGCAATAATGAGGAACACAACGGTCTAAGATAAGGCCTAGCCATGTCGATTACCATCATGGACGTGCTAATAAGATTGAACGTAAAGGTCATCTGAACATAACATGTACGATTTCCATACTTAATAGGGGAGGGGACTAACGGCGGCCTGCCAGATCATCAAAAGGGGCAATGGAGCACCCGAACGTGAGAACCACTGGTCTAGACGGTGCCTGTTCATTTCGAGTGATCGTCATGGATCATTCATAAAAAATTCGCCATTTATCTAACTGATATCTTCCAAAAACAGTTCACCTGAGCAGTTGAATTACAGTTTCAGTCAGTGCACAGTCAATCGACATCCTCTACGGTTTCGACAAAATCGGAAAAGAAACCTCCGTTGGATACAAACGATCGCAAAGAAGACAGCGTCAGTTTTGTTTTCATCATATAATAGCATTTGAAGGGATTATTTTAACTTGCACATTTCACTGAGAATCAGTGAAATTGAACAATGAAGAAACGATTGTTCGAATGATCTGTAAAGGAACGATGATTTTAAAATTTGGAATGCCGAAGTTACTCTATGAAAAGGAAGTTTTTTTAACTAACAGAAATACTCATCAGGTGATAAACAAGGAGAAATCGTTGGCCTCTGTCACTGGATCAAGTGAATTTGTTGAAAAAGAGGTGAACATTGTACTTTGTTAAAAAATTCAAGAAATTATTCCATCTAAATATTTTCAAACAAAATTACGCTCCACTTCGAATTTTCAATTTCACAATAAAAGCTCCATTGGAAAAGTTATTAATTTTCAGCAAACAACGCAGCTGCAGTTGTCTTCTGCAGGTAGGTGACTGTATCCTTTGAATTACTGTCCATGTTCGGAAATCCTTAAGAATCAAATTCTCGAAATATTGTAAAGAAATGGTTTTTGAAATATTTTTGCTGTCAATGGTACCAATATCACTAGTGTAATGCGATCAATTGATTGATTTGTGATTTTTTTACTGATCTGTCGTCCGAAAATGCAGTAATATAATTGATTGAAGAGGATGCAAATGAGAAAGAAAAGGAAAGAAAAAGTTTGGTGCTTGAACCACGAAAGCTTTATTGGGACACGAATGGTGGACTCAGGAGGATAGCCCTAATGAATCCGACTAAAGAGCGTTGTGCCGTCAAGGTGAATCTTACCTCATGAATATGAATTATTCATTTCGTGATGCTTGATTAAATGCAAATAGTTTCTTCATTCTTGGCAATATTTTCATTTCAGGTTCGATGTTCAGACAATAGTTTGTATCGTGTCAATCCGGTGTATTCGTTTGTTGAACCTGGTGGCAGTGTTGGTATCGACATACTGCGTGATATGGGAAGACCGAAGCTGGATAAAATGGTTTTTGTAACGGCTAAGGTAACTTTTGGGTTACATTACTTTTTGCCTCAAAGGAATTGAGACACTACCGCAAACTTCCTTCCTCTGTTGACATTATTGCTAACAAAAAATTGTGCATTTGATTTGACGAAGCACCTTCGCACAGTTTAAGCAAGTTCAACATGGATGTGGACTTTGAAGATGTTCAGTCAAAATATTTCATCTTACTATCCAGTTGTGGACATATCTTTTGTTGAAAAATTTTTCGTGTTTTCCTTGATCCACACATTCTACCTTCGAAATCATCGTACACGTTCACTATATATACTACTTTACTCAAAATAAAATCCATTTACTTCATGAATCTTAGAGTGTCCTCATTAGTTTGCTTTAGTATCGCCTTTTATTTCTTTCTTCTTGATCATAAATCTTGCAGACTTTTGATGAAAAGAAAGCATTTGTGATTTTAGGTGAATGCCGAAGAAGAGCATGCAAAATCAGTGTTCAGGTCGACTGGAGATGAGTCAGCTCTGGTACTGCCTTTGATAGTGACAGCCGTTTAGCAGTGACAATTAAAATTAGGATTATTTGTTATTGAGTGCTTTGATTTGATTTGTTCATCTATTGCGCATTGTTCTTTGCTGTACATACATAATAAATGTTGATGCGTTAACATTTCTTTACACTGAACATTTATTTAGTGAAAAGTATTTGATAATTAGCAGAAGGCTTGAACAATTGATCGAATGACATAGTCGTTATAAGGACAGTCACATCGAAGAAAGTGCAAATGGTAAATGGCTCACTCTTTAAGATATTAATCCAAAAAATTTTAATGATTCAACTGGAAGAGAGAAACGAATCTGTTTGGTTATTCGTGTGATGCGTTCGAAACCATACGGTTGAAGTGTTCAAAAAATCAATTTAATAGGATTTAGTGCTTCGCAATCGCATCGCATCATTGATAAACTCCCTGGAGAGAGTATCAGACTCATTATCTTTAAATCAGTTTAATTAACAATGCCAATAAAGCGTATATGCATCAGTTTGCATTTCATCAGTGCTTACTTTCATAAGCAAATCGCTACGTCGATCACAAAACGATTTCTGATGTAGCAGCTCATATGCGCATTCATTATTTAAGATTCAAGAATGAATTGCGCAATCAGTTCTCTTCATTTCGAATTCGTGCCATTTCAGGTCTTCGAAATGAGCAAACCCCGGCATCAGTATGGTCAAAGCAATCGTGAGCGTACACGACAACTGCACGTTAACGAAGCCTTCAGTCAGGTGACACATCCACCGAACATTTTTTATAACTACCCGATCAGGATTTCCGATCATTTTCTGCAAAACGAAATCTGAACCAATTCTTTCTTAATTCTGAATTTTGAACTGTTGCTACGGTCAGCCATCATGTTAACTGAACGACTTGTTCGGCAATCGGTACTTGAAAACAATCTCATTATTTGATAATTTCAGTTACGACGCATAATTCCATGCTATCCGATCAACAAGAAGATGAGTAAACATGAAATACTGCGTGGTGCAATTCATTATTTGAGAATATTGGAGTATCTTCTTGGAATGCGAACAACATTCACCTAATTGACAACAATTGCGATACTGCGGAATGCGGAATTGATCTGAAATGCGATTGATTGAGGAATACACAACTAAAATTCCATTCTGGAAATTTGAGAAAATTAAATTTTCCAATTCGATTATTCATTAATCTCATAATCATTCTTTGTGAGCGGTCGAATGTTTTATTAGTAATCCGATTATAATAACTCGTTACGGGCATATGCATTGGACTGTCACAAAATTCCGTTTTTGTGATCCCTGTTTGTTCTTATCGTTGCTCCATCGATATCAAATGTAACCGATAACAGCGAGATGCAAGTCTAAAATAAATATTTGCAAAGACTGGTTCGGAAACATTCACTTTCGATAGATATTAACAAAAATTTTGCGGATAACCTCTACGTTTTATTATAAAATTCGATTTATGTTTTCCTTTAATGCACTTAAAAGTTGCGGTATTTCATTTCGAGTAATTGTTTGCAATTAAAGATGTATTTAATATGTGATAAGCTTGAATGTTGCAAATAAATTAATGGATTGAATCTAATTAATGTCTAACTGTAAGCATGATGTCCATTAAAGAATTCAATTCGTGATTTCACACTGCACGAAACGTGTTCAGCCACAGCTCTTTAGTGTTTGTTCAAGAGGTGATCCGCACCTCTCCACATGCCAAGTATTTTTTTAAACGAACCACTGGCTACCACCCTTCAAAGAAATTGAAATGAATTTTCTATTCGATCCACTCCTCCCCTCCCTACTCGATCCACTGTGACTCTCCAATATGAATAGATCTTCTTGACATTATTACTCTTATAAGATGATACAGTAAACATTGTACTACTCGAATTCCCGAAACACTATTTCGATGAAACGGTTCAAATCAAAACGTAAACATAAACATATGGGAAAGGCAACATATTCGTTGTTAACTGGTGGTATCAATGATGCATAATTATGGTTATTATATTCTCATGCATGAATTTCTGGGGTGACGGTGAGCGGTTGGTTTGTCGATCGTTCTGTGCAATCGGCAAAATGTTCGTCATTGTTGCGATGGCTTAATGGATTGTTGTTGGTATTCGGCTAAATTTAACTATGCAGATTATCTATGGCAACAGGCGCTCGTTATTGGTTGGTTGTGGCATGCTTGATATGCCGATTGCTATGGATCTACTCGGTTACATTAATCGTTTATTACTGATAACGAAAGATTACTGATTCACTACTGATGGCTGTTCCAAACAACTACTCTGAACGATCGTTGGACAAGTGTTCAACCGATCAATCGGAATGTATTTTCGGGCTCCTTCTGAGTCCCTCTCCCTAGAAATAAATGGGCATATGGGAGAGTAGCCCAAAACCTCTGTACTTGCCAAATCAATAATTCAAGTTCGGATTTCATGAAGACAGATGATTTCAAACGCTATTATCATTAGCTGCGCGGAAAGAAGAATGCCAAGGAAGGAAGAATGTGATATTAGTGATATTGGTAATAACAGAGAGGCATAAACTCGTAATGAGTTTGATTTGCTGATTAAATAAATAAATAAATATTCTCATGCACAGATATCAGTCATGAAATAACGAGATCAGAGAGCGATATACGAAACTTTTAAGCATTGTGGCAGCATC